AAATTCTCATCGGACTATCCCCAGTGTCTCTTCTGCATACTCCTATGACCAAAGAGAGCAGCAAATATGCCCAACTCAGTGGTTTCATAAGCAATCTAAAGTACTGTGACATGATGGTGAGGGTGATTCAGTAACTATATATTTGAAGAAAGCTACTATGAGTGTGTGACACTTAAGGTATTCCCTGGTGGAGATCTGAGCTCTATATTTTATGTATCTTACTTCAACTGAATAGTTTTTCAAAGTTCCAAAATTATAAGCTTCTGCCTATTTATTATTTTACAGAAAATGAAAGACAAAGATAGTGTTTCTGTGTAACATGTAGTAGGTGGTCAGGTTGAAATGGGTGAAGTTTGTGTGAGTTACTTTGCCTGAGTAAAACACAAAATGATCTTTTCTGTGAACAGTCATTTCATGATTTATTTATGATTTTATTCCAGAAAAAAGGCCCATGTCTTCTTTCCCGTGTGGATTCTAGATCTTTTATAATGGAATGTTTAGTTCTGCTGTGTGAATTGCGGGTAGTATATTTGAGGTACATTTGGAACAGTCTCAAAACAATGAAACAATAATTCAACTCAGGCTTTTCTAGTTCCCTTGGTCCATACTTGGCCTCACCCTCTGAAGTGCTGGGTTTACAGGTCTACAAAGACTGTGTTCTATTTTCCTGGATATTTTTGTTGCTGTCAGCATCCTCCATCATTCTGAATCTCAGCCAGTAATTTTTCATGAGGAAATGCGATCAGATACCTATATCATTTGTAGTTTGAAAACATGGGCTCTTAAAAAAAGATATGTGCTATTAAGACCTCTGAATTTCTTGTTAAAACCATATGATTAGTAAAATGAAAATAATATATACGTTAATGAAATAACAATGAATGTGCACAACAGCTGTGATTGTGAAGTAGAGTGGGGTGAGTTATATAGAGGGTTTTGCGAGTGAAATGGGAGGAAGTATATATATGTTATATTATCATTTTACTATAATTTGAAATATAAAAATAATCAAATAAAAAAGTAACACCAGACCAAAACACTCCTGATTAAAAGAATGGCACATTTGTTTTGAATTATATTGTCTTTGCTATATATTTATGTGAGTTAGGTCATGTTATTAGTAATTCTGAGACACCTTAAGTATCATGTGACCAAACTTTAGTATTTTTTCTATGTGCTATCCTTCTTATGTAAGTATGTTTTGTACATTGATATAACTTAACACTTTTAACTACCATTTTTTGGTTTCATAGTGCCTAAAGAGTCATTGGGACAGATGTGAAAGGAAAAATACATATTTTAAACATAAAGTAGACCCTTTCTACTCTCAAAACACTGACTTCCACATATTTGGTTTCCTTTACATTTTATTCAATTCAAGGATGTAACCTAGAAATTGATCCAAGATAAATTTTTCTGGTGTTTGGTTCTGTATCATGTCGGGTCATCTCATGGTATTTGATAGCTGCACTACTGGGTTATCCAAAAATGGTGCATAACTCACCAGAAGATAGAAGGATGTACAGGCATCAAAAGAAATGGAAGGTCAATTTTGTGTATTGTGTGAAGACACACTTTAGAGTTTCACATAATTCTATGGTCCAATGGCCTTTGGAAATACTCCCCAGTGAATTCATATTTTCTATATTCATAGGATTTTAAATTTGGACAAAAAAATCCAATGCCAATTTTATCAGTTTCTGAATGGTGATGGGTTGTTATCCTGTGGTTTATATGAGCATGTGGCTATGGAACAAATCATAAATTTTCTCTCAATTCAGTGTTTCCAAATCACGGGTCACTGTTTTCCTTATTGGAAACAAATAGAAGTATATTCTACACGTGAGTGCATCTCCTATTGCATTATCTTAGAAGAATTATAATTAAGTATATTTTGTCATTTTTGATGGCACATATTAGGAGGATGTCATTCATGGGAAAAAGGCAAAAATAATCGTGCAAAGCAGATGATATATATATGTTATAATATCAAAAAGTCAATAGTTTAAACAGTGATACAAAAATAGGTAATAGGATTCAGGTGCTATTGACTGTTTTGATAGGAAGAATTAACTGGTGAATATTAATAGACACAGACATCTCTTGCTGCAAGTCTGAGAGTTACCACATTTTTTTCAGTTACCATATTTTTAAAAGGTAACTAAATAGCTACTGGCATGAACAGAGGAAGGTAGATGCTCTTTTTGATGATTGAAGTAATTTTGTGACTGAATTAACAAGCCTGGTCAGTTAGAAACCAATTGACTACTTAGAGATTAACAAGGGAAAATTCTTTTAGTCAGTGTGCATGCCTGGATGAATGGACAAAAGGGAGCCAGTCAGGGTCAGAAATCTCTGTTAGCTTTTATATTTTCATATCCCCAAGTTATGATTTGAGTAATTAACTATGTTTTACAGAGACAGAAATTCCAATGTGATTGTTTGGAGAAATGGGGAGATTTTCATGTATACTCTTGTCATAGTTCTCTGGGGACAGACCAGGACTGCTTTGACGGGGCGGCTGTTAATCAAGGTTCTTCTGTCTGCCTGGCAGAACTGTGCTCTCCTGATAGACAACTGGGAGCACTCCTTCAGCTACTTTCTGTGGTTTAATATTTCCTAAGCAATCTATAGGTCCTATTAAATGTCAGTTTATTATCCTTAGTTTCCAGTTTTTCCTATAATAATATGGCACTTAAACACTAATGCATGTCTGTCCATAAGAGAATGATTCAGCTAATACCTGTACAATAGATACAGGAAACTCACAGACAGACTTAGAACCACATTTCAATGTTAGCAAATACGTTTAGGAACAGCATGGGCTGTGTTGCATACTACTGAATGAGTATCACATATGTATTAGGTTAGTTTAAAATGTCTTTATATATATACTTCAATAGATATTTATATAGTAATATCGCTGTAAAAAAATCTGTCCCCTGAGATTCTATCAGCCATTGACATAGATGAACTAGACAATGAATTATGCAGAGCTACTGAACTCAAA